CACTATCTCTCAGGAGAGAACAGTTGTCTCTTTTTTATTACATTAAACAAAAATCTCAGAAAAAACTTACAGCTGATTGTCCAGATACTCAGCTGAAAAGATTATTTGCCGCTCGGACGAGTAGTGTCCCTACATTCAACATAAGAATGGAGAATGTAAGCAGCACGATTGACCTAGACACAAGCAACATCTCACATGTTGAGGTTAATAGTATTCCACCTTGGTCAACTTCACCGATCGATGTTGACTTAAGCTTAAAGCAGTTCCGTAAAGAAACCACGCCAGACTACGTCTATAGACAGCATTTTGCAGAAATTCAGGATCGTAACAGGAATTTAATTCCTATATACACCGATGGATCTAAATCGGATAACTATGTTGGCTTAGCCTTTGTTTGCCAGGATGAAATTGTGGCAGAACAAATAGCACCAAATTCTTCCATCTTTTCTGCGGAGTTGCAGGCTATTTATTTAGCCTTAAAGTATATAAATCGGAAAGGTCATCGTTGCTGCGTGATTTACACTAACTCAGTTAGTGCACTTCAGGCTTTGATCTCGTATGAACCTAGTTCTCACTCCATAGTTACTAAAAGTCGAAAACTAATTTGTCATCTCACTACGAGAAATTTTTTTGTGAAGTTCTGTTGGGTCCCAGGCCACGTGGGTATAAGAGGTAATGAAGAAGCTGATACAGCCGCTAAGTCAACAAGTCCTTCACAGCATACAATGCGTATTGAAGGCGGTGATTTGAAGCTAGTCGTTAAAAAACGACTAGCAGAGAGGTGGCAAAATGTGTGGAATGCACAAATCCACAATAAACTTCACGAGATCAACTTCACAATAAACTTTGGTAGAAAATTGGACACATAATAGGCAATATGATAGGAGATCTGAAGTTGTCCTTACTCGTTTGAGAATTGGACACACTCGACTGACTCATCAATACCTTTTGAAGGGAGATGACGAACCAGTATGTCAGCACTGCAACTGTGCTGTAAGTGTTAAACACATATTTTGCAACTGTGTTGCTTTTGATCAGAGTCGTAGACAGCATTTCGGAAATGCAAGCTTTAGAGACATTTTGGGCCAGAGGCCAAATCTGGATAATATACTGGACTTTCTGAAAGTCATTAATATGTATAGAGAAATATGATGATTTATTTATTGTATAGTTTTATTTACTTCATGGTGCATATTTAAATTATTGTATATATTTTTTGTTGTTTATTTATTTATTTTTTGTTGTTGTTTATTTATTTATTTATTATATTTTAGATTTTATATATATACTACCATTGGCTTTTTAATGGTTAAACTGTTCTGTATATATGTGTTTTCCTATTTATTTTATACACTCAATGATACCATGTGTTGTGGCGCAGTATAGCCTGCATGGCTTTTGTGCCAATAAAAATTAACTAACCAACCAACCAACCTCTCTCCTCTCCTGATTAGCCCGTTCTGTTGCTAGGGGCAGACTTCAAGTCGCGGGGAGAGACATCCCTTCCACCCCGATGCTGGGCCGAAGGTATGTTTTCTTTCCAGTTTCGGGAGGATAGAGCTGTGGCTAAAAAGTTTAAAACTGCAATTTAACACAATAAAACGAGGCTCCTTTTGGTTTCCTTACGTGTATCGAGGTGGGAGATATAAATTCTTTATTTTCTCTTTCTCCTTTATTTTCTTTTAATTCATCCGAATTCTGTCACAACACACTTCCTTTTTCTTATTCTTAGTATTCGAACAAAGATAATATTTTACATTGCTATCTTTCTACGAGAAAGAATAAATATAATAAGTGAAGGATTATGGTCTCACATTCGAACATATCCTAATTCAACGTAAATCATGGAACAATCCGTCTCATTAGAGACAGTGAGGCGCTAAAATATCAAAATTCCCCTAAAAAACAAATTTTTAAAATCATATTGCATTGCAACAATAAAATTTCGACAGTTTGTCTTCTTCTTGTTGCGAGCGGTGCGATTGATATTAATACATTTTAAGTATTTTTTGAGTTTTGCTTCATTTGCAGCTATTGTATTGGTAAGTTTAGATCCTCACTATGTGGATATTTAAAAACGAATACAAATTTTATTTTTTTTATTGAATACAGTTAAACTCATCACAAAATTAACAAAATATTAATTTAAGTTTATTTCACATTATTTTTCTTTAAAAAATTAGATGTTGCAGAAATGCAACAATATATACTGAACCGTATAAAACTCAGCATGTTGTTACTGTGTGTAAAATAGCTTAAAATAATTATGTTTGTTATAGCATTATGCTACTTTACACTTCTCACGCATTCATAATGACACCTTACATCTGTTTCTTTATTTCATCCAGATGGGCCAATGAGATGTTTGATTCTTTTGAACATCTTTAATGGACTATTTTTAGTTGTATTTCTTTTGCGTTTTGCTGTGATATTTTTTTTACATCAGAATTCGGTCCTCTTATACACAGGGTACCATGTCAAATTTCGTTACTTAATCTTTATCCCATTCTGAAATATAAAACGAAATAGACGTCAACGCACATACACGGAATTTTTCGCCATTTTACGTTTCACTTTGTTATGTATACATAACAAAGTATTGGAATCGTGTCATATTTGAACCTGCGAGTGTTTTGAAAATCTCCACGTTTTGAGACACCCTAAATCCAAAAATACAAAAAAAACGACAAAAAATTTTATGGATATGTATGTGTGTGTAGGTGTGTTGGCGTCTATTTCGCTTAATATTTCAGGATGGGGTAAAGATTAAGTAACGAAATTTGGCAAGGAGGCTTGTATATGAAGGACATTTGTGCATTTAAATTTTGGTGGGTAAAGGTCGAGAGGGTGTGGAGATAAAGGGGGTCGTGTGTGCCTGCAGAAGGGTCAGACTTAATGACGATTTTACTCGTTAAAAGTTTAACATTTAAACTTTTGTTTTTTTTTATAAAATGCATTCTTACCCTCACAATTAAACTTTTTGCCATTTTATAATAATTAAAATATAAAAAACTTTTTATAACAAAATCTCATAATAGATAGTTTTTCAGAAACAATTTTATTATGTTATATTGTAATTAAAATTATAAAAGTTGTCTTCTAAATAGGATCTCATAATAGCTGGGAAAGTTATACAACTCATAGCTGGATTTTTTTTTACTTCTTTGGGTTTGGAGTCTCAAAACGCTCATTGAGCGAAGAAATCGACCACAACGCGAATTCCGTGTTGTGGAACTTTAAAAACGTGCACAAGGATTTTGGCATATTCAGTAAAAGCACAAAGCGAAATTTGTGTCTCGGTTCTTTTAATAATCTACAAAAAAGTCCATCTGACAAGGTGAAAATGCCACAACGCATTGCGGACGCTTATAAGTGTAGTCATGACGTAATGTGATAAAAATATCTATGTATAAAGAAGTAACAGATATTTGCAATAAATTATTTATGTATAATTTTACCAAAAAGAAAACTACTTCTGAACAATGTTTATAATTAAAAAAAACTATTCATCCTGTCACAAAACGTTACATAATTAAAATGACTCTAGTACAATAAACGTAGCTGTTCATTTTTGCCTGGAAAAGCCCAGGCTACTGGGGTAACATTTACACGTTTCGTCCGAATTTTTAAACAAAAGTCCCACTGTAGATTTTGATGATTTTGATGTCAAAATGCTCCGTATGAATTTTTCCTTCGCATAAATTAAATTTTGGGAAATATAATTGACTCTGAGAAATGATCTCTTCAAAAAACGAAAGTGATGACTTTCGCCTGTTTGACGATTAATAACAAAAAAGTATATGGACATTTTTGTGTGCTGTTTACCGAAATATAAAGCCAGACAGTTACTTGACATTTTTTCAGTGCTTGACGAATTTCGGGCGAACTACGAAAAAGTTATCCGCGTTCTAAAAAAAGAACCGGTTCACGTTCCTCAGCACCACTAGATGGCGCCACGTTATCTAGCTCTTCAATAGCCTAGCTCTAATAAGTGGAAGCTTCTGAAAGAATGCGGATTTTGTCATTTTTTCAAGGTGTGGAGTTTTTTATTTCATTTTTGTACTAAAATATAGTCTATTCCGTTTAATTGGGTCACCGGTTAATTGGGAAAGCCGCTTTAATGGGCCAAATCTCAAAGAACAGAAATCAAACTAATAAATTAATACATAATTTAAACGCTTAATTGGAACATTAGCAGAAAAGGAATTTAGCAATTTTTGATATATTTTAGGGATCTTCCGAAAATATGTCAACTCTACCTACACTAATATTATGTAGGGCTAACGATTGGCGGAGACAAAGCAATTTCGTCTTTCGCTCGGGCGATTCAGTTTTTCCGGAGGAGGTATCGCACTGATAGCGGAAGGTATCACATTGGGATCCTACTCTTTAAGCACAATTAACGGAAATAGATTTTAAGCTCTTCATTTCTTATCAAGACAAAAACATTTGTACAAACATATTTGGTGTTTACTGTTTTTTAATTATTTTCTTTCATTTGTGACATATTACTGCTCCTAGGCTAATTACATTGATAAACATCGTCTCGAGTTTCTCGATATCACCTATCTAGTCTTTTATAACTGACGGTCAAGAAGACACTTTCTGTTAATTGTTTTGTTTATGAATCCTAGATACCTTAAAATCCTAGATAAATAAAGTAAGTAAAAAAAATAATAATTTATTTGCAAGTCCCTTTGTTAATTGATTGCAAACTTAACACTCCCATAAACAGACCAACTCCAAACAAATTTTTATATTAATATTAGTAAAAAGACAACGATAAATAGAAGTTTCTGTCTTAGAAATTTAAGGCTTGGACATAAAATTAATGAGGCTAACTTTTTACATTCAATATAATTCTCAATGTAGATCAGAATTCGATTTTATTCTAAATAATAAAGATTTTTTCTACTTATTTGTTTATAACGTAAATGTGTGTGTGTGTAATATAATAACACCTAAACAAACACTAAATTGTTTTGCTTGTAAGCGTCTTTTAGTAATTATAATGAATAATTATTTGATGAACCATTTACTTTGGCTATATAATTTATTTTTAAAACTCAACATATAGTTTTATTTTAATAATTTACAAAAGTAAATGTCGTTTTCAGTTTGTTTTATTGTACAAATCGGAAAATTCCACGTGACAAGCCCGTTGGCTAGGTGCAAACCCACGACCAGTGTTCTGTGGTTTTATCCACTCGACCACTGACGGGTACAAAACACGTAGGGAATAATATCAAAACAAATGAATAATGAATATGTTTTGACTTAACATATACCCCAAAGCAAATGTTTGCTACAGTCCCTATTATTGAATAATTAATATTTTATAAAAAATATTAATTATTCCATAGTCACTATAATGAAAACATCAATTTAATTATATGGCGCATTTTTAAAGTTAAATATTTTAACATAATATAACACATTTTCGATTATTTAGATATTTAAAAATAATTTTATATCTAATTTTTAATTATTTTTTACATAAAATTTATTTATTATTAGTCATCGGTGGTTATTAAATAATAAAAATATTAATTATATATGAGATGAAGGGTAAATAATTTACAAAAAAGATATCAAAAAGTATAAATAAATATTTAAGATTTTTCTATATATAAATATGTTACTTATATTTAATAAAGTTTTAAGTTGGAAAATTAATTTATTAAAAAAAGTTAATAATTATTTAAGTTTTTGAATCATTTTATTTTTATCGATTTTAAAACTTTAACAAGTTTCACGTAATTAAATTTTAAAATTTCTATTTAATTATAAAATATAAACAAAAATTTATTAAAAGAAATAAAATTATAATGTATTTTGAAAAGAAAAAAGCATAAAAAATGATTAAATT